CTGCAAATAGGCATTCTATTTATGCGAACCAAATATATCATTGACATTGGATACTGCAAGTAGACATTTAATTAATGAGAACCAGATGAAGCATAGACTTTGGTTCCTGCAAGTATACAATTGATTTACGAGAACCAGACTTTAAACTTTGGATACTGCAAGTATATATTTCACTTATGAGAAACATATGTAGCATAGACTTTAGAAAGGTATTGGGTTAATCTAGCTACGCTCAACATTGTAAGCAGACAACTGCATATTTTACAACTGATCATTGTACACCTAGTATTAAAACTCTCGACTCAACGATTGTTGGTTCAGTTGCTAAAATGCAAGAAATCTACAAAAAATAATCTTATAACTTTGTAGAGTTTATTGAAGAAGTGTGTTTATATGACTTCTTTGAATACATCGTTCACAACTACGCTAACAAAGCTTAACTTTGGCAACTAACTATAAACACAGACAAAGTAGCAAATGAGTGGGTTTTGACTATTAAATTTGTATATTGAGCTTATCTTATGTCATTCTGTAAACCCTAACAGGTTACTGAGTTTGTGAGAATGTTTATGATCAAAAAAACGTTTGAAACATTATAAAGTTCCATTGATTAATGGTAGAGTATGATCATCCTCATGATTGTGATAATGTTATAGACCAACTTATTACTTGAGTTTTGATAAAGTAAAATAACAACATTTCCAATTACTTATAACCAAACATCTCAAATGGCGTCTTAAATTTTAGGAATATTACAATTTTGCTAGGTGGTTAGCACGTCCGTTGTTTAGCTGAACATAAGTAGCTTAACCGCTTGGATTTTCCTTGTAAAATGAAAATGCTTTGCAATTGACTTTAAATGTTATTTTAATATACTTTAGTGAAAGTCCAATGCAATTAAACTTCTTTTAGTAGATTCGATTATCTTTGAAAGTTGTTTAAAACGCTGTCCAATCTATATTTACTTCTGCTGCTTAGATCAGTCAAAGATTATATAACGCACCAAATGTTTTTACATTTTATACGCAGTGCATAATAAAGTTGGAAAATGTTACCTAGTTGACAGTTAAAAGACTGCGTCCCAGGTAAAAAGCAGTTTTGATGAAAGAAATTCCGAGTATCTTTTGCACGTCTGCCACGCTTCGGTAGCGTTTAAAAATATTAAAGTCTTTAAACCTCAAACACATTTATTGTTTGAAACGTACAATTTTATCTCCTTTTAGTCTTTTTATGGCATGGGTTTTGGGATTTATGTACCTTATAACACAGGTAAATATTCTTACAATGGTATAAGGCAGTGGTTTATTACTTTTAATAAAGTTTAAGCGTTCTAACAAATTTCATAACTGTTTGTAGTTAATTGTTAATTAGTAATAAGTGCCTTCTGCCTTCTGTATTACTGGAATATTTACTGTGTATTAAAAAAAATATGAAGGTCCATTTAGTAGTATTCAATAGTTAATAGTATGGAATTACAATTTCATGAAAATGTAAAGTATCCAATGAATATCCTCAAATAAACCTAAAACCTGTCAAATAATACTACACAGAGATTTAAATGGCATACCGCAACTTAGTAAATAACAATTTAACAACTTTTAAAAGATAGATTGGTCTATCAAGTGAAGAGTCATCGAAGAAACTCCAGTCTTCCAGTTCATTTCAATTTATCCCTCATATATTCTACGTAATGGTGAAAAAGGTTTTACAGCTTCACTCACTGACGCATTACATTTAACTTTAAAGTTATTTTCTTCAACTGTTATTCCATAACAGTATCATTTTTATGAAATACAGGGTGTCCCGTAACTCCCTGGACACATGTATATAGCGTTATTGCTTAGGTCAAGACAAACACATCTCACCATAGGATTAGTCTTTTTTTGTAAAAAACACATAAATACAGACAGACGGAAAACTAGGCACCACAGACCCATGTTCCTATGGTGAAATGTGTTTGTCTTGACCTAAGCAATAACGCTATATACATTTGTCCAGAGAGTTACGGGACACTCTGTATAAAAACCATACAAAATGCAATATCTCTTAGATATTTTCGTAACTTTCAATTTAATTGCTTATTTATAAATAAATCATGCATTTTATAATTCTCAGCAGACTATTTTACAGGATATGTGCTACATAAAGCAAGCTTTTGCCGTAAAAAACACACAAATCACATTCCACCTTAGTTTCTAAGGAAAGTATTATATAAATAAATTATTTTAAAGCTCAACATTGGATCACCACAGAGTTAAAATACCATTAAGAAAGAGCTATAAGATTCGTTCTAGATGTATTCAATTGTTTGGACACTTCCAATATACAGTCTAACAGAGTCAGTCCCATGAAGGGGTTCAGAATTTTGATTTTGATTTATTTATGTTTATACCACTATTTTTCTTTTATTTTACAAATGTTATGGAGCTGAAATGTTCATCAAAACATGATCTAAATCTACCTGATAAATAGTGTAAAGCTACAAAACTGTCGGTACAAAAATGGCCAAGTAATTTAATACGAAACGTCTAAACAGCTTAGTAAGAAACCGCTGTGTATTTGCAATGCTTTTTAACTTCTGAAATATTTCCCACCAAAATACATGTGTTGGTTAAAAATACATTGTGGTTGTGAGTTGGATCCAAATGAATACGTTTATCACGACATGTAATCAAATCAGTGTAACATTGTGCAATGTAGCTTTAAACTTTGTAACAATACTTTTTGGTTATTCAATTAATAAAAAAAACTCAACATTTTATGTGTCGACGCCTACTGGACTTAGTCAGTAGGAATTCAATTTCTATAAAGAGAACGTCTTTGTCTGGTCCATGATATTTTTTAAACTTTCATCCAAATTGGTTCAGTAGTTTGTTTAGTCGTAACATACCTACATACATGATGAAAGTGAATAGATGCTTGACTCCTGTTACTAATCTACTTATATATAGTTCAGTTTTAAAAACCTTTGTACAACTTAATCTACGGTACTACTGGACCGATTTTATTAATTAATACTTCGTTGGAAAGCTTAATTCGAGTAGAGTTGCAAATAGTTACATGTAAGTTTTTTTTTATGATTTGTGGGGAAAATAAAAAAACATGTTTATCTCACTTTAGGCTTCCTTTATTGCTAGTTATATTAAAAAACGCAAACTGGTTGATAAAATGTATCAATTTGATACCCAACTGCATGTACAAAGCTAGTAGCTTATAGTTTGACGATTTGTGTTTTTAATACTTTTCTTTTCAAATTCCGATAAAAAAGGACAATAATTGAAGGGATGAATGAACATTAATTTTCTTTAAACACAAGAACACTATTGGCCCATTCTGTGATATTTCACCTCAATGTTTGTCACTTCTCCTCTCACATCACTCAATGACAGTCTGAAGCTTGAATATTGAATTCCTCGTGAAATTAGATTCTCGTAGTATCAAGTCAGTCGGTTTAATGGTTTGTAACGTTCGAGTCATATTATAATTTAAAATAGCCTATCATGGTAAACACTTGATTGTGTTTTTATAAAAAAAAACAGCAGTGTTTCTTTTTTTGAAATCGTTTTTTGTAAAGAGCGAACACCAGAAACTCATTTTTTATTGAATAAACAACCAAAACATTGCTGTAACCTTTGGTTAAAGTAATTTAAAATGTGGTTAGGTGAGAAACTAGGTTTAAAAACTAAGCACTACTTAAATTATACGTTTCTTGTTAGTGTTTCGTGTTAACACCATCCAACAACATTGAATTGTAGTGTAGGCATATTATATTGTTTTGCTAGGTTTTAGTATAAAATTATAATGCTTTGCTCTAAAAAATATATAATATTTTAAAGGCTAGTTTAGGAGGACAAGCTTGTCAGCATACATTAACGCCTCTTTTTAATTACATAGGACCAAATTAAATTAATTTACTTTATTTTTCAATCCAATAAATTCTTAATTTTAACACGACTTTGGCTTTTCGCATTACATATTGAACAAGCTACGTGGTTATATCGTTCAAGTAGTGCTCTTAATAGATAGCTACCGAACTGAAATTAAGATTAACAAGGTCTTGAAGGTTTATTGTTTAACTGATGCTAAATAGGATTTATACCTTTCAGGCTATGAAGCTCTGTTCTTGTTTTTACTCATTTTATTGCAAAGGTATCAGGCATAAGGTTTTATTTTTAGATTGATTTGTTTGATTAAGGTTTGATTGACTAATTATTTAATTATTTAAACAAATAATTTGTATCTTATGATACCTAAATTGAACAATGAATTAATATATTTAATACCAATTGGACCAGCACGTAATATTTAATTAATCACAAACAAGCAAACAAAGTACTGTAAAGAACTTTAAGCTTTTAAATGTTAGTATGTGTGTTTTCAAGGAGTTGTTAGTACAATATATGTTCTATGGAGTATTTGATATATTAAGTTATTTTATTATGTTGTTTACGTACTATAAAACCTAGTCGGTATTACAGCTATACTGTTTGTAAAGTCCAGGACAATATACTAATCAGGTAACTTTGTTATAACTGGACTATGAGTTAAAAAATAGCTAAATATATAAAGCACCTTTGATTTTACAATAACCATTATTTTTAAAATTTTAAACAACATACATGCCATGAAACAAAAATGTCAGCGTGTTTAGTGAAATATTAACCATTGGACTATTGGGCCTTAAAGCTATATGTTTAGTCATTTTCATAATGTAGATATTAAGTTTCATCATTCGAGATATTTTAGAGATCAGTAAAGTATTTAAAAAATGTCTTCACACCAACCTCAACCATTACCCTTGCCTTATCCGCTAGATCTAGCCTTAAACCTGTGGATCTAAGATTTGAAGGTATACCATAAATGTCAATAAGACATTTTGCAAACATTATGATGTATTCGATACAACAAACTTAGTAACTATTGAAACAATTTGTTTTTTTATTTCACTTTAAATTTTTATTTGTAAAAAAAAACATTACAATTTATAATAAAACTAAAATTTAGTGGCGCCTCCTCCTCTGAATGACGACAGCGTCGCGCCTGGTCGTATCAGTTAGTGGGTCGTACTCAACCTCCATCATTGGTGGGGGTGGGGGGTCCCGTCGAAACCAAAAGTACAAAACCCCACCCCCAACGACAGCCGTGGCCAGGCCAATGGCTATGCCGACCACGTGCTCGCTGCAACAAAACATAAACAATCAAAAGGTTGTCCCTACACCACTAAAAATCCCTTTAACCAAAAGCTTAAAAACATTACTCGTTTCTCCTAATAAGTATTATATTTCAATACTGTAGGCCTATACATTTATTTAGCTCTTACCTTGCCCATTGCAAAGCCATAAGAAGCATCTTTCAATCAGGATGTGTCTTGACTCTGTGTCTTGACTCTGTGTCTTGACTCTGTGTCTTGACTCTGTGTCTTGACTCTGTGTCTTGACTCTGTGTCTTGACTCTGTGTCTTGACTCTGTGTCTTGACTCTGTGTCTTGACTCTGTGTTTTACTCTGTGTCTTGACTCGGTGTCTTGACTGAAATAAAATCAAGAACTAACTTAAACTCATTTAATCATAGAACAAAATATAACATTGTTTGTTTACATTTTCATAATAAACATAAAACCAAATTATCAGCTGATTCCAATATATTACACTTTTCCCTCCTCATCGTCTACCGCACCTTCTCTTCTTCGCAGTTGATCCGAATGTTTTCTTTTTATGACTCCACCACACATGACTTCATAAGAGTATAAGCCATTGCGTTTGACTATTGTTCCTGCTATCCAACCAGGGTTATTCTCTTTTTTCATCCATACTTCTTCCCCTTCACTGAATGCTCTTAAGGTTTTCTTTTGAGTTGGGTTTTGTTGTTCCTTCCAAATTTTCAGATCTAATTGTTGTCTAAGGTTTGGTTTCATGTTGTCCAACATAGTTGGCATTCTTCGACCTAGAAACAACTCTGCAGGGGCTCGTCCTGTTGTTTTTTGTGGGGCATTTCTGTAACTGAACAACACATTTTGCAATGCCAATGAAGAATCATTAATTTCTTGTTTTGTTGTTCTGTAACGCCTTTTCAAAGTCCCTATTAGACGTTCGACTAAGCCATTACTTCTAGGATGATAAGGAGTATTTCTTATATGTCGAATTGAATGTCTCTTGAAAAATGCTTCCATTTCAGTAGAGACAAACTGTGGCCCGTTGTCAGTTACTACTTGTGATGGTATCCCATACCTGCTCATCCACGATCTTAATCTTTGAATTATGGCAGTTGAAGTCGTTGTTTTTAAACATTCAACTTCTGCCCACTTAGATAGCGCGTCAATCCCTACTAACCACATTACTCCATCAACTGGTCCAGCTAAATCCAAATGAACTCTTTCCCACACTTTTTCAGGAATGTTCCATGGATAGACCGGGACTTCTTCAATGTTTCCTCTGTTTTCTTGACATGCTTCACAAGTCTTAACATGCATTTCAACGTCTTTGTCAATGTTAGGCCACCATACATAGTATCTGGTAATTGATCTCATAGCTGAAATTCCAGGATGGCCACAGTACAAAATTCTCAAGATTTTTTTTCTCATATTTGTTGGCACAACAACTCTACCAAACCACATCAAAACACCATCTTCAACTGATAATTCTTCTTTCCTCTGTTTAAATGTTTTAATGTTATCTGGTACCTTCTCTGGCCATGAATTTAGCACATAACTTTGTACTAATTTTATCTCCTTGTCCAAACTGCTGTTATGTTTGAGTTCCTTATAGGACACCAATGTCTCAACTTTATCCATGTTTAAAAACTTTATGTCTCTTACATCGGTAGATTCTTCTCTGATTCTCATGGGAAGACGGGATAGTGCATCAGCACAAACGTTTTCATCTCCTTTCCTGTACTTGATTTGAAAATTGTACTGATTCAGTTCTAGGGCCCATCTCACTAACCTATTGTTCATTACCTTTGGAAGATTCCGGGTTTCTCCAAATATTCTTTGAAGGGGTTTATGATCGGTGACAAGTGTGAAGCTTCGTCCATATACATATTGGTGAAACTTTCTTACAGCAAATAAAATTGCAAGTGCTTCTCGATCAATATTCGAGTATCTTTTCTCAGCATCTGAAAGAGTTCTGCTAGCATACGCGATTGGTTTTTCCAGACCATCTTCACACTTGTGCATTAAGACACTCCCAAGACCGTCTTCGGACGCATCACACACCAACACTAGAGGTTTGGATTCATCATATGGAACAACTGTGTCTTCTTCCGAAAGAATCATTTTGACCTTTGTAAATACTTCATCTTCTTTCTCTGTCCAGATCCATTTTGATCTGTTGCTAGTAAGTCGATGTAACCTTGAGCACAGCGCATGCAACCTAGGGATAAACCTTTCATAATAGTTTATGGATCCTAAAAAAGACCTAAGCTGTTTGACATTTGTAGGTTTAGGTGCCTTTTGTATTGCTTCGATCTTCTCTTTTGTTGGATGGATACCCTGTTCATCGATAATGTGTCCAAGATAGGTGACTGAATTCTGCATGAATCTACATTTTTCTTTCTTCGCTTTTAGCCCTGCGTTACTCATTCGTTTTAATACTTCCTTTAAGTTCATGAGGTGTTCTTCTTTGTTTCGGCCCGTAATGATTACATCATCTAGAAGTACCCCCACTTGTGGTATGCCTTCAAGGAGCTTCTCCATGTATTCCTGAAAGATACCTGGGCTGGAGGTTATACCAAATGGTAGTCTCTTGTATCTATAGTATCCAACGTGCGTGGATATTACCAGATATTTTCTGTCTTCCTCCGATACTTCCATTTGGAGATATGCATCTCTCAAGTCGACAACTGAATACTGCTTCCCTCGAGATACTTTATTCGTCAGTTCCTCAAAAGTTGGCAAAAGTGTTGTATGGGTAACAATGTTTGGGTTTAAGGTTACCCGAAAATCTCCACATATTCTAATTGTGCCATTTTCCTTCTCAACATTTACTGTTGGTGTTGCCCATTCGATAGGAGTTTTGGAAGGGTCTACCTTTTCTATAACACCGTCACTTACCAGTCTGTTTAGTTCTTGCTCAACTCTACTTCTTAGTGGAAAAGGCACTCTGCGAGCAGGAAAACACCTAGGCTCTGAGTCACTCTTAACATGTATCTTCGCCTGATAGCCTTTAATGGTTCCCAATTCTTTCTTAAATACATCACTAAACTCAGAAATAACTTGGTTAATTTCCTCTTCGGTTACTGTAGAAACATTTTCATCTTTATTGGTGTTATCCAACTTACGAATCGTAACACTAGGTGGTAATTTCATGTTGAAGGCAAGCATCCATGGTAATCCAAACAAAGGAGATTCGTTTCCATTTACCACAGCAGCCTTAAGTTTCCTAATCTGTCCATCAACTTTAACATTAACTTCACACTCTCCTAAAACATCCAGGGTATTGTTTCCATAAGCGACAAATTTTGTTTTACATGCCCTCAAATTTGGTGATCCTATTTGTTTCCACAGGGGTGCATCAATCATCGATGCTCTAGCTCCTGAATCAAACTCCATGGTTGTTGGTACTTCATTTAGGGTAACATTAATTTGTGCTCTTGGGATCTTCCTATTAGGTTTAAGTTCAGAAATTCCTAACTGTACCTCTTCTTCCTCAAATTTTATGTCTGTGTCGTTGATTTGGTTCAAATAGGCCTTTTTTGAACGACAATGTCCCGGAAAATGACCCATTTTTCCACAGAAGTGACATTGTTTTGTCTTTTTGGTTCCACATTGTCGTGAGAAATGACCTTGCCTTCCACATGAAAAACACTTAGACTTTTGAGCTGGACAAAATTCTCCACTGTGTACTAGTCCACACTGATTACAATCTTCTGTAGAATGGCTGTATGTTTCTTTTGCGGAATATCTATTTTTCTTATCATAGCTATGTACCTTGTTAATTACAGGCATAGCTTCATCTAAAATATTCATTTCCCGCTTAGCTCTATCCATCGCTTCAGCTAAATCTACCAACTCATTTAAAGTTAAACGTGAACCATCTTTATTTATGCCTTCTGGCCACCTTTGCCTGATTTCAACTTCAAACTGTGGAAAGTTAACGCCACCAGCAAATCTATCCCTTACTCTTTCCTCAAAATACCTGTCGTATTTACAGTAGGAGGCTAACTCTTTTAAACGTAAGACGAAATTTGAAAAACTCTCATCATTTCCTCTCACACATTTTTCAAAGTCTAGTCTCGCTGCAAAGATTGTTTTACTAGGTTTATAAACACACCGAAATGTATCAAGCAGTTCAGTCATTGGTATGTCATAAATTTGCCTAGGTAAAACGAAGTTAGATACCTTTTTGAGGGGTACAGGTCCAACATATGCTAGAAGAAGATCCCTTCTGGCCTCCTCAGTTTCATCACTGTCATCACCCAATCCCTTTACCTTGCACATCAATTGGAAGTGAGCTTCATAATCCTCCCAGTTCAATTTTTCATCATAGGGTTCTATTGAAAACTTTTCCATTCTCTTTCGCACCTCTTCTTTATTGTTCCAACCAATATCTTCACATCTTTGGGTTCGTTTTTTACTCATCGTCGCCAGTGAAATAAAATCAAGAACTAACTTAAACTCATTTAATCATAGAACAAAATATAACATTGTTTGTTTACATTTTCATAATAAACATAAAACCAAATTATCAGCTGATTCCAATATATTACACTGACTCTGTGTCTTGACTCTGTGTCTTGACTCTGTGTCTTGACTTTGGGTCTTGACTCTGTGTCTTGACTCTGTGTCTTGACTCTGTGTCTTGACTCTGTGTCTTGACTCTGTGTCTTGACTCTGTGTCTTGACTCTGTGTCTTGACTTTGGGTCTTGACTCTGTGTCTTGACTCTGTGTCTTGACTCTGTGTTTTACTCTGTGTCTTGACTCGGTGTCTTGACTCTGTGTCTTGACTCTGTGTCTTGACTCTGTCTTGACTTTGGGTCTTGACTCTGTGTCTTGACTCTGTGTCTTGACTCTGTGTCTTGACTCTGTGTCTTGACTCTGTGTCTTGACTCTGTGTCTTGACTCTGTGTCTTGACTTTGGTTCTTGACTCTGTGTCTTGACTCTGTGTCTTGACTCTGTGTCTTGACTCTGTGTCTTGACTCTGTGTCTTGACTCTGTGTCTTGACTCTGTGTCTTGACTCTGTGTCTTGACTCTGTGTCTTGACTCTGTGTCTTGACTCTGTGTTTTACTCTGTGTCTTGACTCGGTGTCTTGACTCTGTGTCTTGACTCTGTGTCTTGACTCTGTGTCTTGACTTTGGGTCTTGACTCTGTGTCTTGACTCTGTGTCTTGACTCTGTGTCTTGACTCTGTGTCTTGACTCTGTGTCTTGACTTTGGGTCTTGACTCTGTGTCTTGACTCTGTGTCTTGACTCTGTGTCTTGACTCTGTGTCTTGACTCTGTGTCTTGACTCTGTGTCTTGACTCTGTGTCTTGACTCTGTGTCTTGACTCTGTGTCTTGACTCTGTGTCTTGACTCTGGGTCTTGACTCTGTGTCTTGACTCTGTGTCTTGACTCTGTGTCTTGACTCTGTGTCTTGACTCGGTGTCTTGACTCTGTGTCTTGACTCGGTGTCTTGACTCTGTGTCTTGACTCTGTGTCTTGACTCTGTGTCTTGACTTTGGGTCTTGACTCTGTGTCTTGACTCTGTGTCTTGACTCTGTGTCTTGACTCTGTGTCTTGACTCTGTGTCTTGACTTTGGGTCTTGACTCTGTGTCTTGACTCTGTGTCTTGACTCTGTGTCTTGACTCTGTGTCTTGACTCTGTGTCTTGACTCTGTGTCTTGACTCTGTGTCTTGACTCTGTGTCTTGACTCTGTGTCTTGACTCTGTGTCTTGACTCTGTGTCTTGACTCTGTGTCTTGACTCTGTGTCTTGACTCTGTGTCTTGACTCTGTGTCTTGACTCTGTGTCTTGACTCTGTGTCTTGACTCTGTGTCTTGACTCTGTGTCTTGACTCTGTGTCTTGACTCTGTGTCTTGACTCTGTGTCTTGACTTTGGGTCTTGACTCTGTGTCTTGACTCTGTGTCTTGACTCTGTGTCTTGACTCTGTGTCTTGACTCGGTGTCTTGACTCTGTGTCTTGACTCTGTGTCTTGACTCTGTCTTGACTTTGGGTCTTGACTCTGTGTCTTGACTCTGTGTCTTGACTCTGTGTCTTGACTCTGTGTCTTGACTCTGTGTCTTGACTCTGTGTCTTGACTCTGTGTCTTGACCCTGTGTCTTGACTCTGTGTCTTGACTCTGTGTCTTGACTCTGTGTCTTGACTCTGTGTCTTGACCCTGTGTCTTGACTCTGTGTCTTGACTCTTCGAAGATATTTCTTTTAGTTTTCTTTGACAAAATTTGCTCACACGTCCAAGTGATTCAAAAATTACTTGAAATGATAAGTAATCAGGTTTCTATGGATACATATTGTATTTTGTCGTAGTTCAACTTTGTAAACAAAAAAGATCAAACACATATTACAATGAAAGAATACATAATAATTATGTTGCTAGGCATTTACAGATTTGTAACACATTAATTTATACTAATTTTAAGATACGGCACTAGTAACATTTCCTCATTTGGGAAAATCGGAACTGTGTTGAGTCCAAGAAATTATTAGGTACTAGCAGCGAAAGCCGCCGTTGCACGGGTTAAAATGCAATGCACAATAATGGCTATAAAAATTCATTTGAAATCAACAATTTTATCGAAGTGTCTGGTATCGCTCAGTTCATATTAGCATAATTAATTTTATTGCACTTTCATACAGCACCTACCTGCATTTTAATCTTCAAAATGTATATGCCTTTCAAAATTAACATCCTGTATTCATTTCCCGAAAGCATTACTTAGAGGATGATAGTATTTTTATTTGCATTTACTTTTTGCATACTTTGATTTATATTTAAAAATTAGAAATTAATAGCTTACTTTGCTTGTTATGTTGGTTTTGTAAACATTATCTCCAATTTGTAAAAATGCACATAAAGATACTCCTTGTAATAAAAACATCTATACCTTTGGGCCAGACAAATTTGTTTACAAAAAGTTATTAAAATAATTCAAATTAGTTGAACATTGTTAGTTGACTTCCATTTATAAATCCCAAAGTACCCATGAACTTTTGAGAAAACTGGAAGTCACACCCCCATAAACCATATACTTAAAATGTTCGTCATGACGAGAAACCTTGCGCAAAACTATCCATTATTTCATAAATTGCCCTTTAAGGTCGTAATTTCTTTCTAAAGAAGAATAAGAATATCATTAGATGCTATTTACTGCTGATATATGTTAACTTCAATACATCTGACCGTGATTTATCACTAAGCCAGTAAGCGATATTACATTTTGATCATTCATTTGCCAATCAATTTTGCAATGGACTGTATGCTATATAAAGCCAGGGATAAAGCTACCTATAATAATTAAGACTTTTTAGTTACGTCTTATAATGTTTAAATCAATTGTTTTACTGTACAATTTGTGTAATTTTTTTGTAAATTAGTTAAGCGTATGATAATTAGAATCATAGTATATAGCTAAAATCAAAGGAATGTTTCAAAGGATCACCTTCTTTCATCAACAAAAAAAAATAAAGATTTTGCAATTATCCATTTATCCTTGAATAGTAAATAGAGTACAAAATTAGCTCCTTTGTTGGGAAGCTAAATGGTTTTGAAGAGTAGTTGTGTGTTAAATTAGGTACTAAGGAGAGTCAGGATATTCAGCACATTTTGGTGACAGCAGATAAATGATGAATTACTCGCTTCACTGGTTCGTCCCAAAATCGTCTTTCTGTCTGCAGCAATGACTAGAATGCATCAAAACAGAACTATACTATTTTCCCACTTTTTAAATATATTTCTCTACTAAGTTCTATTAAAAGATTTTTATAGTTTATAGTAATTTACGCAACTATTGCGTTAAGATAGTGTTAACGACACGAGTGGAAAATGTAAATTCTAAGAGTGTCTTTAACACTATTTACGCGAACTGTGTACACTACTTTACCTACGACGGTTATTTAATGACAAAAAATCACTACTCATAACGTCTAAGACAGGTTATGTTTTCGTTTATAACCTGTCATTGTCACTGACAGTGCTGTAACGAAACATTGTACCAAACACTAATTGCACATCTCAAAAATTAAATTGGCCTAAACAGCTGATTAGTTGAAGTTCAAATCATTACATTTTTACTTCTTCTCTCTCAATCCTCGAATCTCATTGGTCCGTTACCCGTGTTTTTATGAGTAAAACTATGCTGTTAAGTAAACAATGCTGTTATGAAAAACTTTTCCATTTTAAGAACTGAACTGAAACGGCTACTTAAAAAATCGGTCGTAGGTAAATACAGTTTATGTTATTTATTTTGAATGTGAATTCCATATTATAAAATTTTTACTCGTGTTATAATATACAATTTAATTTTTAAATGGCTACTCAAAAAAGGTGTTACAGTAGAAATTAAATATTAAAACAATATTAATCAAATAATTATTACGGCAACGTCATAAGGTCCCCATCATCATCATTTTTGGTAAGATCAAATCAATCAATCAAATTATTTTATTGTCCTCATACAACATTCTTTATATTACAAAAATGTCAACTTAAAAATACTTCCATATATTAATAATAATAAAATAATGCCGATGAAAATACAAAACTGGTAGTAATCAATACTTTAACATAAAATTAATAAATGTAAAAAGTATTAAATCTTGGTAATAATAATAACAATATCCACAGTCGAATTTTTTTAGGCTTTTAAATTTTTACTTAACAGCTATAGGTTAGGGAAATATGCAAAGTGCCCATTATGTCGTCTCAAATGCTATTTTAAAAAATCTTAAAAACCACATTGCTTGTTCATGTACATGTATACATTTTTGAAATCTTCTCTAAAATATGGTAGGCATTTTAAATCTAAAAAATCAAAGGTATTTGAGTGATCCTAGTAATACAACTTGTACAATGTCGAGTGTCCAACATTGTTTGTATTAAAAAACTGCATGAAATCACATAAAAAATTAAACTTTATTTAACTTATGACTTGCTTGTAAAACTTTAAAAATACAATACCTACTGTTTTTGTTTGTGTTTTTACAAATATAAATTCAATCATATGTTAATTTACAAACAGTCTGTTAGGAGATTGAACATGCCGCCCACCTTGAAAGTACCACTTTCAACAAAATACAAAAAATAAACTATTTACAAAAAATGTCTTATCGATTGTCTTTGGCCTTTTCAATTTTCAATTGGTAATACACACAGGCGATTTACAGATCTCTTGAATGTTCCTGTAGAGGTTCGCACTGTAGCCACTCTAGTTTTTCCATCAAGTCCAGGATGAACATCTTCAACAATAGCAGTAATCCATTTTAAAGGTGGTAGATTGTCATCTTTGATTATGACTAGTTGACCAGGTTTGATATTATTGGCAGTCGTGAACCACTTTTGCCTTTGTTGTAATTGAGAGAGGTATTCCTTGGACCAACGGCGCCAGAAGTGTTGCATAAGCTGTTGTAATCGTTGCCACT